AAATGCAAGATTCATTTCACTAGATAATAGGTTGGATAGACTTAACTCCGAATGTAAGGATGTTATCAGAGCATCTCGTGGATTCTAATTTGTTGAACAAACAAGGTTTATAAATCTACATTCGGATCCTAAAAATTAAATAAGAATATAAATTTTTTTAAATTAATTTTTTAGCAAGGGACTTCTACATTCTTTATAAACAATATCCATAGATCACTCATAGTTTACACAGATGACATCTCATACATAGTTTACGTTGTCTACACGTAGAGTATCATAATTTACGTACAAATGTCTAACTCTGATCGCGTATCGAGCTGCTCGTGAATTGCGCGGACCATAGATTCGACCATAGGTTTCGGACGATAAGTTCGGATACAGTTTGTCACACCATATGCTCCAGGGAAAAGGGCATTTTATTGTCGCACGTCAGATTCTATACTCTCGAGTCGTATGTCACGTCAAACAAATTCACAGTTGAACAGTCGCGCGCCTGAAACGTTTCTTAGCTCAAGTCGCGGCTTCTTGCATGCTCTGCCTAAGTGGTAGAGTGTGAATATTGATCAGACCGAGTGGTGGATACCAGTATGGGGTCCGCCATCTGTGCGCACCGCAGCTAAGCTACGCGAGCTATAAAAATGCCTTGTGTAAGTACGCGTCCATTAGCGAATTTCCAAGAACAAATGAATCTGTTTAAGAGAAATCGCACACCACTTTATTTCACGGATCGCACCACTGAACGGATCCCAGACAACACAATGTCCAAAACTGGGACATAAGATGTCTTTAAGACATCTTTAAGACAACTTAAAGACGTCTTATGTCCAGACGTCTTAAAGTCGACTATGTATATGTGCTGTCTGGGATATTCGGAAGATTGTATCGCGGATTCGTGCAGCAATCGTAGAGGGCATCGAAGCGCATCGTAATAAGGAAGCACGTGCTGCCAGAAAAAGTCGTATTGATAACGGCAAACGCTTATTTTGATACTCCTTTCTGGAAAGCCGCGATGAGCCCCGATAAACAGTCTTTTTGTATTGAACGTACGCCACAATAAAGCCTTATTATTTATCGACGTCTGCGCCGAAGAATACTCCCTGGGGGAAACATAAAGCACTTCGCATGCACGCGGCCGGAGATATCTCGTTCGTCATATAAATTTCTAATAAACAATCGCGCTTTCTTTCGCTTTCTTTCTTAACGCAAGAACCAACCGTGAACTGTGAGAGCTGAGAAAATATCTCTCGCGAACGTATAAAATTGCCGTGTCGTGGCAGAGTTTCGAGCTACGATGCTGTAACGTTTTCTTCTTGCTCGCTTGTTTATTCCGCGAGAGTTTGGATTACGCAACAAGCACGCGATTGCGTAAAGAAGTCTCTCTCTCTCTTTCTCTCTCTCCCTCTGTTATTTGTAAGACAAACACTGTCGTGAAATACGCATCCCGGTCAGCTCACGCGAATCCCCCATTGTTTGCGAGGAGCTTAATAATTTTTTGCTTGCTTGCTCTTTTGCTGCGTCGTTTAAAAGAGGGACGACTTTTTAATTAACGATTATGACGAAGGCCGGTTAAGCGCCGGGTTCGACTCTATCTTGAATAAACTTATGCATATTAATCGTCGCTCATATACATACATCGCCACTGCCTGTAGCGGTAAAGGAGATGTCTCGCAACTGCCATCAATCTTTCGAAAACCGTCTTAATAATATTTATTAAGTGACGATAAAGATTGATGTCTCGCAGAGCCGTCAAGTGCATTAATTCTCTTTTGATATATTGTGCGTGGCGAGCGGCCGATAAAACGAATAAGGCACCCGCGCGCGATATATACTTTGAAGTTTCCATTTTATTTCCACAAAAAGCCCATTGTTGTCTGTAGGATACGTCACTGACCGTTTGAGGAGTTCATTCACCAAATATATTTCAGAACGCCCTAGGGACGTATTCTCAACGGCTCAAGGACTCATAAATTCGCTGTTTGCCGAAGAAAATTACGTTTTTATATATTTATTTCACTGTCTAAGTAATAAATGTTAATTTGAAATTAATTTCAGGACACTACTTTCACTCGATACAACGCTACTCTGCAGAACCAAGTATGTTAGTTTGGCTGGATCTCTCTTCACACATTTCTTATCGTTTCAAATCAGGTTGACACGTTTGAACATATCAAATTATAATTTATGTCTTAAACGTGTTAAATGACGTAACTTGAAGAAGTGAGAAACATGTAAAGTAAGTTTCAGACAAATTATATGCTTTTATATATATATAAACATATAATTTGTCTGAAACTTAGTTTACATGTTTCCCACCTCTTCAACGTTACTTAACACGTAAATTATAATTTGTATATACATATATACAAATAATTGTATATATATATGTATATATATATATATATATGTGTGCGTGTGTGTGTGTGTGTTTAAAAGTAACACATTTAAATTTGCAGTATACTCCTCAGAGGGATAAAGTAGCAAATTTTCTGGCTTGAAATCGATCATTACCAAAAACGATGTAATGCATACTATGCTTTCTTATATATACATCGTAAAATTAATGTAATCATTATGTAATCATTAAAATTAAATGTGTTACTTTTAAACACACACACACACATATATATATACATATATATATACAATTATTTGTATATATGTATATACAAATTATAATTTACGTGTTAAGTGACGTTGAAGAGGTGGGAAACATGTAAACTAAGTTTCAGACAAATTATATGCTTATACGAGGGTGGTCTGAAAAGTTTCCGACCTAACAAAGATACAAGTCATTTTTTCTGAAAATTGTTTTTTATTTTTCAACATAGTCTCCTTGTAAATCTACACACTTCTCCCAGCGATGCTCCCATCTCTGTAACCCGTCGAAATAGTACTCGGCGTTTTTCTCTGCAAAATAATTGTTCACGAAGGTGATTGCCTCTTCATTTGACGAAAATCTCTGTCCTCCGAGCGCAATTTTTAGATGAGGGAACAAAAAGAAGTCGCTTGGGGCTAGATCTGGTGAGTAAGGTGGATGGTCAAGCAGTTCAAACCGTAATTCGTGGATT